GAGATGATAGAAAATGTGAATCTAATACTTGACATTTTTTCCCCCCTAATATGGAAAACCTTCTTTAGTCGGTTTGAATCTTCCTCTCGTATAGGGTACAAGGTCACAAGTCTTTATAACAGGTTGGTCAATCAGACTTAAATGGCTAAATTTTAATCTGCTGAGCTTATTAGAGGAACAACGCTTGTATCACTGTAGTTGTTTGTCACAAGTTTCAGTGTAACATCTCTTTGAGTCATTAATCATGGATTTTACTTGAATTTAACAGAGAAGTTGTGTTGTCCCAGATTTAATTTATCTAAAAGCTCTGTGCATTTTGGTTTGGTTTCTTTTGGTTTTTTTTTTTTAAACTCTCATTTAAGCAAAATTAATGAAGATTTTTAGTCTCTCTGTTGGAGACCCGTCTTCTGTTCCAAAGGCAAATGAATTTGGCCATAATAAGATTCTTTTTTGTGGGAGAAAGATGCATACATTTGAGATTAATTCCCTGGATACTAGGTTAGCTTTACATCAGGATTTATATGTTAACATCAGGATTTACATCAGGATTTATATGTTAAATATAAACATCAGGATTTATATGTTAAACCAGAATGTTTTTATGGATAGGAGATTTCTCACGGGACCTTTAGCGTAAGGCTACAAACTGAATAGCAAAATTTAGCTAAAAGGCTTTTGTGCTGTGATGTAAAAAATATAAGCAACACCAAAACACTCAAGTCTTGAATGGTTCAGTGAAATAGTAAATGTTAGTGCTTCAATTAATAGGTTAAAAATTACTATTTCAAGACAGCTAGAGGAATGTTCATGAAGAGTACTTTAAAATAGTAGTAGTCTTCTGAGTGCACTTCTTAGCCAGTTTGCTTTACCTTCAGCCTTTCCACATCGTTTTTCCAATACTCATTCATTTTGCAAGTGATGTGAGCAAGTAAGGACGTGAAAATAAAGACTTGGGAGTTTCTGTTCTGTCTATTGATTTTTTTTTTAAATTAATTTATTTAATTTGCCTTAATTGCAGCATTAATTCTTTAAATACTTGATAACTGTGATATAGCTCACGTACATGATGGAGATGAAGCAAGGTATCCTAAAGATACTTCTCTCTTTTTGTTAACAACATACGGAGCAGGATGACGACAGTTCTGTGAACAGAACTGTTAAATAAAACTGGTTCTCCTGCATCTGTCAGAGGAGGTTAGGGTAGACAGAAGAAACAGATATGCTTTATATCAAGAAGAATAGATCTGAGAACGTGTCTGATTTCTGTAAGGAAAAAGTAGTATATATCTCTTGGTTAGAGGAAGAAAAGGTGCTGAGCGCTATTTATGGTCACAGTATGTGGGGAAAATATAATATTAGATAAATTGGATTAAAATTTGCAGGACAAACGAGGCTAGAAGAGCTGGTTTTGGTGTATGAGCAAAATGGTTGAAAGAACAGGCAAACTTCCTAAGCGCATTTCTTCATCCGTGCTACAAAACTTTTAATGTTTTGCTGAATTTAGTTTGCATTCGTGTAGCTTTGCTTGCTTTCGCTATCTTCATCATTCTTTTCATACTTACGTATGTATTCTCTGCCTCTTCAACAATTGCTTATTCCCTTCCCCAGACTTTTTTTTTTCTTTGAGTTTTTCTGTGTCTTGAAACTGGGTAACATATCTTCATTCTTTTCATACTTACGTACGTATTCTCTGCCTCTTCAACAATTGCTTATTCCCTTCCCCAGACTTTTTTTTTTTCTTTGAGTTTTTGTGTGTCTTGAAACTGGGTAACATCCATTAATCTTGATTTTTGAATGCTTCCGTTTCTTTTCTGGCATCTGTCCTTTCATTTTCTCTCCTTTTGTTTGCATTGTGAAGATCACGTAATAAGGAGGGAAGATATGTACAAGTAACCACAAGCAGGGTATTACGTAGAGCTCTGGGTCAGTGGATCTGGCCTGCTGAATAATGAGATTGGATGGGCAGATCAAAACATTCCCGAGTCACTACATGGGAATTGCCAGTTGCAACAGAACAGAAAGCGAGCAAAACCCCAGAAAGGCGTGCTGGGGAGGGCCGCCGTGCTGGCAGGGAGCGCGCACGGGAGGATGCGGTGAGGAAGAGGTGATGCGAAATAGCTGGCAGGGATTTCTCGTGCACTTTGATTTTTATAAGAAGTAGTTTCCTTTGGCATTTATTTTGGTCTTGTTCAGTTATTTCCAGCTGTAAATCAGGCTTTCTGCTGTTAATGAAACTTTTTATTGGCATTACTGAGAGACTGAAGAAAATCTTGCTGCTTGCATCCATATTAAGATAAAAAAAAGTTACTTTTCTGTATATTCTGAGTTCTGCACATAGCTAGATATTGTGTATGTGTGCTATAAAAAATAAAGACTTCTCTTCTGATGGAGTTTTGACGAGGCCTGGGCTGGAATCTTGTATTTGAACTACTTGAAGCTTCTATCCACACATCACTGTATTTTCATTTACTTCATTATATGCCAAATGCCGACTTTGTCAGAATAGCTCATTTTGTCAAAGGCAAGTATAATCAAATCTCCAAAGTGCCTTTGGACTTTGCTTTCTTCTCCTGTTTCACTCACAGATTTCCAGCTGTGTGCATCCATAAATTGAGCAGACTGTAGTTGTTTTTCGGTTTGACTGCCAACATTTCTGAAGCTTAGGTTGCTGTCTGAAACAGAATTAGTGGTAAATTTAAAGATGGTCTTCATCTAGCTATGAAGGCAGAGCTTATTTGGGGGGGGGGGGGGAATTACTGTGCATCTGCTAGCTAGGGATTGGAAGAGGAGATTTACAGTGACCACAGGCAAAACTGGTGGACTCGTCCATCTGAACAAGTCTGTTCTAGTCCCCGGTGTCCGAAGAGCCTGGGCCGTAATTCTGGTTGCCGACCCTGTTAACCATCCGCAGCTTTTTAAAGATCACTTCAAAAATGTTCCGTTCTTGATTACTTTGTAATGAAGGAAGCGGTGGGCAGGGAACCTGGAAGCTTTTATAGGTTCACAAAATAGGACATTTTTCATCTGGGGGGTAGTCCACCCTTTAATACTGCACACGCTCCGCCCGAGTGTGAAAGTTTTAAGTCCTGCCCGTAGCTTGTGCCCTCCCTGCCTTTTGTTTTTCAGGGAAAGTCCTTTGACGGTGTCTGTCAAATGAACTAAATAGATCCATCAACAGTAAGCTGATTATTTGGTTGTTGGTTGGTTCATTCTTACTCATTTATGGATGTGCTGCTAAGATCAAGTAGCTTCTTACAGATTGCATAAAACAAATTCTGTGGTCAGTAATGCCAGCAGTTACCGGGTGTATTCCCAACATCTCTTGTTTGCCAAACCAAAGCCTTCAAGTTTGTGAACGGCGTACTTTTTAATTGAACGGGGAGTTTATTTCTCAAGTGCATTCGCAGCTTGTTCTTTGGAAACTGTTGAAAGGGTTTGGATGATGATTAAGCGATGACTTGCCGGGTAAAAGCTGCTCTGAAGTCCCACTCACGAAGTTTACTGTTCGATAATCTAATGCATAAGTGACTTTGTGATTAATGACATGGGTTAGAAGTATCCTGTACCTGCTTAATCGGAAAGATATTTTAATCTGTTGCAGTGATTGTTCCCTCAATTTCTCCATAGCATCATCTAGCATTTCCTAGGCTCCTCTTGCCCGTTCATTCTCTTATTTTCGTGTGGTCGGTGATCTGGAGCGATCTGTCTAACTTTGCCTTGACTGCTGAAAGAAGGGGGTTGTGTTGCCGGGTCATCTCAGGTTCTCTTCCTCCTTGTACGCTGAAGTGAGACTTGTTTTTTCTTCGGGTAATCTGCTTCAGGACGAGGGAATGTGAATGGGATAAAACTGTGGTTTTCTTGATGGAAATTTGTCCTGGCAAAATGCGCTGGTGTTGCTCTACAGTTTAAGCATATGAACCAATTTTGATGCCAGGTAGAGCGGCATTAGAAATGGCATAGTGACACTCAGCTTCTCCATGCGCTTGCACGTCTCCTTCATCTTAGTGGCAGTGCTTTCATAACTTGTGAAGAAAGGTGCTGTACAGACAATACTGTTTTTCTATTGAAATGTTAAAAAAAAAAAAAATTACGTTTCTTTCTCATGGAGGCATCTGGCATCTGAACACCGCTAAACCTCTCTGGGCTGTTGCGGAGTCTTGCTCTGCTGTGGTTCGCCTTGCCCGGTGCCTGTGCTTGGCTGCTCCCTTGCAGGGTGGCAGAACAGGCTGTGCGCCCGCTGCTCGTGTGCCGGAGCCTGTAGTCCGCTGTATTAGCTAAGCTTCTTTAGCAGTCTCTCTCTAACAACATTACAGATTATCAGGACTTGAAAAACACACTTCTCTTGTTTTCAGTACAGATATTTCACAAATGCCTAAGCTGAAAAAGTCCAAAGTCTTGAACGGATAATGCTTATTAGAGTCTCTGTGCGACTGGTATCTTTATTTTAGACAAGCGTGTGCCTTTCACATGGTAAAAGGTTTGGGAAAAGAGGCTGAAGCTACGGATAAAAGCATAGAGCCCTTGAATCTATACTTTTAAAATATTTGTAACTTACTTTGACAGTAATCAGTTCTAAGGATAAGTATTTACATTGTGGAGATTTTACTGTAGTATAAAATATTTTGGACGGTAAAAACACCTGTGTTTTATTCTGGACTTTCGCATCAAGGTGGCATTTGAGTGAAAGCATAATGAAAATACTTAAATGCAGCCCTTAAAATGTATTCTCTGATGCCAGCTGACCGTGTCGTAGGAAGATGTGTGCCTATTAAACGCATCCAGGCTGTAGCGTGCCTCCACGTTCCCGGTGGCTTCAATACTTACCTGCTTTAAGTGAAAATTCTGTATAAGTATAGAAGGTTACATTTTTGTTATTTCACTTCCATCTTGTCTTTAGCATGTTATGAAGGAGTGTTGTAATAAATAATGTGATGATAATTCTGCAGTGAGCCCTCAACATAAGAGTTAGTGAACAATTGATTTGCTTTTGTTTTGTCTTTAGGAGATTCAGTTTTAGAGGTGTGTGGAGGCTGTTACCACTTGCCTTAGAATATCCGAACTAGACACCAGGTAAGTACTGTATTTTTTGATTTCTTGTAGCTACTCATTTAAATGCAAAATAATGCCGAGGAAACAAAGTTCAAAGTTTCTTATAGAAATCTCTAATACCTCACGAAGCCAAGCTTAAAACACCTCGTATTTTTCTTGATAATACAATCTTGTATATGGTTCTCTCCTCTCCCTTTTAAAAATGATTTTTTTTTTCACCCTTGAAAAATACCAGATTGCGAGGACGACTCTAAATGAATCTGAGACAGATGGACAGGATGCGGAGGCCAGTGGTGCTATTTCGTTTTTGTGATAAGTCAATATTTACTAATGTGTTTTCTGGCTTGGTGGTTTTATTTAGACTTTTACTAGTAAATACTGGTTCAGATAGAATAATTTAGTTTAAGATTAACAGCTGTAGTTAACTTTCTGCACTGGAAATCTTTGAAAAGCTGGTAATCTTAAATTTAACTGACATTACATTTTACCACGGTCAGTAACCAGAAATGCTTTGTGGAATACAAATCTTTCCTAAAATACTCTAGTGCTTCCTAAAGTTGTATAATAAAGCATCGACTAGACATAATTTTTGTAAGAGCTGGCAAAACATCATTTCCAAGCTAGACTCTTTAATCATCTGCTGATATGCTCTTAAAACTGTAATTGCAGAGGGCTTGACAGCGTCACAGATAGTTTGTATTAAAGAGACTTGCAGGGTTGGTGCCTCGGTGGTGGTGGGCTGTGCGAGGACAGCAGCCTACCTCCTCTTCTCCTGTCCAGCACTTCCAGCACGGCTTTGAGTTTGTCTTTCTCATTCCTGTTGTTTCTTATTTGTCCCTTTTGGAGCTTTCTCTATTCTCTGTGTTACTGGTGACGTATGGAAAGGCTGGGAAGCTATTTTGTTCTTCTGGTTTCAACCAAACCAAATTTGGATAGAGAGTATCCATTAAAGTTAATGACCTTCCATTATCCTATGTCTAGTGGGTAAGTGTCATTTACCATGTCAGGAGGTGGTGGATTTTGTGTGTTACAGCAGGATTTCACTTTTTGGAACAGCTGCTGACAGCCAGATTCCCTCCATTGAAGGTAGACACTTCACTAAAATTGTTGTGAACAGCACGTATTTAAAGGTCTGTGCATTGACGCGTGCATTCATGGTGTGATTTTTTTTTTTTTTTAAATTTTTCTTTTTTAGTGACTTAAACTTACAAATATACGGGTATTAAGAAAATTAAAATTCTGGTGAAGATTGTACCCCAATGTCCTGCTGTAGTAGTATTTTTATAGTTAACATTGTTTGGATTCCTCTGCCCCTTCTGATTTTTATCAGTGGAGCCGTATCACCGCAACTCCTTTCAAAAGCAGTCTTTCCTCCAGTGAGGACATTCAAGCGAGCGGCTGTGCCTTTGTGACTTACATGGGAAAATGTACAGAATTAATTGGAAATGTGAGAAGTGATATTTTAGGCAACTTGGTACTTCACAGTTTCCAGAGGTTTGTTCATGAATAAATACTTAATGCGTCATCCCTTTACGGGCGCAAGGCGGTTCTTTCTAGCGGGGATCTGACAGCTGGGATGCAGCGTTGTTACGTGTGAGCGGTGTCAGTAACCTCCACCCTCCCTCCTGCCACACAGCTAAGCACATTTTTTGGGAAAAGTTGATCCCCCCTCGCTGCCCCCTTCCAGTTAAATTCTTTGCGGCATCTTGCGGCGGGGTCAGGTGAAGCTTGAGTCCTCCCTCCCCGCTTCTGGCCACCGGATCGGCTGTCGCCCTTTTTGGTGCTGGCATTCATTGGAATCTTCTGTGAGTGTTTAATTCCCTAAACTGGCAGGGAACTACTCATTTTTCTTGGCTGTAATAATAGTTTGCCATTTTAATGAGTTAAATACAACTTATAAAAGGGTCAACAGACCTGGCAGAAACTAAGATATCACCAGTTTCATGAAACTTGATTGGATTCTTTTGGGAAGCTAAAAAGAAAATTGGTCTTTCTAAGGTTCAATTTACCATTGACGTGTTTAAAATGTTAAGGCTGGCTTCCATGTATAACCTACCAGGTTTAATCTAAGCCTTTTCAGCAAGGTGGTACCAATTGTACTTACCTGGTCGTGCTGAAAACAGTTGCATTTTCTGGTAAAGCTGACTTACGCAGGATATTCTGGTACACAGATGGTTAAAAACTGCTGTTTAATCCAGGGGATTACCTTTCCTCAGAGCTTTCTGAGAGAAACCTCTTCAGGGCATCCTGCTTGGTTAGAATAATGAGCAGATGGCTTGTTGCTGCTGAATACACTTTTTACAAATACAGAGCAGCTTTCAGTACTGTGAATTAGAGCCACTTGCAAAAACAGTAGGATAGATAATATCCTGGTTTATGAAGTACTCTGAACTTAAATAACTCGCACCTTCATTGTCTGTTTCATATTTGAAAAGCCAAAGGTTGCGTTCCTAGTAATAATACTCTTCTGTTCCCTTAAATAACAAGCTTCCCAGATGAATTCCCATTACCACCTTGTCCTCCACTCTTCTGCCAAGGCCAACGTGTCCATTTCATACCAGTTTTGAAAATCAGACACCCCATTACACCGAACTCCAGACACCCTGAACTGTGCAGATTGAAGCGATTAAAGATTGCAGCAGCGTGGAATTTTATTCCTGTGCCTGTCTTTATTCTTGACAGGCAGCCTGCAGACTGATAGACATTGCCTGGATCAAACTGAATTCTTTTTTTGTTAAACAAATTGGCCCTAATTTAACAGTGGAGGTTTTATTAAGCAGAGCATAGTGTATACCTGTGATCTGCAGCATCTGTGCACCAAGGGCACGTTGGATTGATTATAGAGGAAGCTTGTTATGCCTAAATAGAGCTACAGACTTGAAACAACACAAGTGTTCATAATGCCCTCGGAGCTCCAGTTTGAAGCAATACCTTTGGAAGAGCTAAATTAACATGTACAATCTCAAATCAGGATGCTTTCCCCACCCCTGACTTCAGATTAACCCCGCAGGTCCCTGGCAAAGAGCAGCGGTGTTAGACACACTCCCCTTGGCTGGATGCTGCTAACGGGTGACCGGCGTGACGGAGCTGCAGGAGGGTGTCCGAGGGAGGCTGCGGGGAAGCGGTGGTGGTCGTGGTCGGAGAGCGGGAGAAGCCCCGCGGGGGAGCCAGGGCAGCGGTCGGCGCGGGCCCGTGCGATTAGCTAGATTACCAGATACCAGATAGGGCAGCGGTCGGAGCGGGCCCGTGCGATTAGCTAGATTACCAGATAGACGCCAGGATCGTCAGCCTTTGACCTCAGCAGTGGGACCGCTTGGGTGGAGGGGGCTGGGAGGCTGCGGCCGGGTAGACCCATAGCTGCGGGTGGGAAAAGGCTGTCGCGGAGGGCCGTGCCTGGTGTATTCCTGGATGTGGGATTTCTTCCCTGAATTTTTTTTTTTTTTTTCCCCCACTGAATCAGATTGTGCCCAAATACATGAATCGGTTGTAGTGTGTCTTGCAGCACTCGATAATTTTCCTCTCACGCAGAAACCTTTTGGTAGCTGAACAGTATTCTTCAAAAGAAAAGAAAAGGTTTTCTCTCCCTACCCACATACTCACCTTCCAGATCTGGGGGGTATTTTGAATGCTTAGCCAAAGCATCAGGGTTTAGACTTTTTATTATTATTATTAATTTATAGCTTCCTTATTAGGTAGCCTTTAATTAAACTTACCAGAGCTGGCAGTGATGACATGAAGGAAATTAGATGAGAGTTTGCTAGTGTAGCTGGTGTACCCCAGTCAAAGAAACGGGATGTAGTGCCCGGTGTTAAACTAATCTAAAGTTGGAGAGGCCAAATGCAGAAGAGTAGTTAGCAGCAGGCTCTGAGATGAACAAGAAAGTTGTAACGTCTATATCGGCGTCCTTGCCACCTAGTCACACGTGCACAGGCATGACGATAGCCATGTGTTGGTACAAACAGAACGGTGATTTTTGTGAAGCGTATCAGCGCTATGAGGTCACAGCAAGAACCGGGCAGTGCAAGATGCGACGTCTGAGAGTATTTCTTTCAGGTAGCCTTTTAAAAGCTGACGTTAACAACTTTGTTATATAAGATAAAGGGTTAAATTAGAAAAGTCTGGTGCTTTAAATATCTTTTTCAAAGACTACATAATCTGGTGTAGGCTAACTGTAATGACATAATCCAAAAATAGCCAATAGTCTTCTCTTCGATGCTCATCCTTGCTGCAGTTCTGCAGCTAAAGAATGGCAAATGCTAATCTCCTCAGGATGTTGGAGGACATAACCGTATCTGTCCGTGGCGTGGCACAGGGGAGATCTCTGGGGTCTTTCACACTTGAATTTGGAGCAGGAGGTTAATTCACGTTCAAGTAGCGTGATTGTAACTAGAATACATGTTAAATGTTTGATCCGCGACTTTAAATTACGAGAGGGGAGGTCTCCTCCTCTGTAAGTGAGCAGGCATTCCCTCTTTCATAGCGGGATGCACAGGCCTCGTCAAACTGGATTTTGTCTGAAGGATTCTGCTCGACCTGGTGTCAGTGGTAGGGTGGGAGGCTGGGGTTTTGGGAGGTGCATGGAGGTTTGGGTTTTGGGTTTTTTTTTTTAGTGTAACAGAATGTCTGCAATTGAAAATGCAAATGAAATCTTACCCCTATGCAAGTGTGGTGCAAAAAGGCAGCCTCAACGTAATAGCAACCTGTCTGTTGTCAAGTTGTTTTTATAGGTATTATCACAAATAAATTATCTTAATATTAAGACTAAGAAAGCAGATGAAGTAGCTTTAGGGATGTGCATGTAGTACATACCTATAGCTATACCTCAGCTGCTGATTTTGGGTTTTTGGAAAGAAGAGCTGAGTATATACAGTAGTGGTTCTAGGGTGCCTGGTGTTGTGCTGAAAATGTAATAGTTGTTTTCATTGATAATTCACTGAGTCTTGTAACTTTTTAACTTATACATGTATGTTAAGAGCCTTTTCTTTTCAAAGCACATTTAAACCTTAAAAAGATGAATTTTCACGTGGATACTCTGGTTTCAAGGCTGATGTTGTTAATGAGGTCTGTGTTCTTCTTCGTTTAAGCGTTTCTTAATCTCTTTTTTAGCAGGGGCCGGTTCTCTCTTCAGGTTAGTTCAAGATGGCAGACCAGAGGCAACGTTCGCTCTCTACCTCTGGAGAATCGTTATACCACGTGCTGGGGTTGGACAAGAATGCCACTTCAGATGATATCAAAAAGTCATACAGGTAAGGGTTCAAGTTCTACACGTGTTGCCCAATAGCACAAATAGCTTTAAATAAGTGTTCAACAGATGGTGTATTTATGTATAGGCTTCAGTTGGTTTATTTAAACCTTTTGCAAGAAAAACATGTAAGGAAACCAGGTGAAAACATGGTTGATTCTTGCAAAAATTGGTGTGAAAACATGCCTAGGCTTTGTATATAAGTGCTGCTAAATTTTTACATCTCATCTCGAGTAAGTTAAATTCTCAAATATGCAGTATCATTGTGAAAGGTCTTTAGATAAAGTTGAATAAAGTTTTAAGACAGTGTGATCGGAGTTAAAGTCTTCATGTTACGTAGCCTTGTGTCTGGCTTACAGAGACCACACATGTGCAGTATTGCCCTTGTGTCCATCATTTCCAATTCTGGCACAGTGAGGTATAGATTAAAGATGCAAATAAGGATGAAAACTGAGTATCAACAATTACTTTTTTCTAAAAATCCATTCAAAATTTCTTATTCTATGTGGAGTTACTATTTTAAAAGAGGATTTTTTTTACTTTATCTCTTTTCTTAAAGAGTTAAACGCATGAAATGGCTTCACATTGACCAAATAAAACAAAAAAAAAAGTCCTGTAACCTCCTCCCTTCCCATGCTCCCACAAAATCTGCATATATGCAATTGCTTCTTTACCTTAAGCTTGAGCTATGTCTTGTACGACTGTGACAAGTGGCAATGTATTCAACATTACACTAGGGGTCAGTAGTAATCTTTACTTGAGGATACTCTTTTTCGAAGTTGTTTTCTTTCAGTCTTTAACATTTACCAAAATTTTTCCCTTTCAAAGTTACATTTTAATACTGATGGCAACTACATGGTGAAGTCTATGAATAAACTGGGTCCCCAGATTCTCAAAAATTAGCTGTGTCTTCCTAAAACCTTGAAGTGGGAAGTTTGAATCAGTGATCTTCAAGCCTTAGCAACTGGAAAGTAATTTTACCTTCTTGGGGGAAAACCTGCAACAGTTTTTCCTTTGGAGGAACGACCCAAATAGATCCTAGGGTGAAATGTAGCTGCTTCATACTTACCTGAACCTTCCTCTAATCTTGTTTCCTCTGCTGCTTCTTTACAAGAGGACGACTGACACCTCTTGTTTTCATTCCATTTGAACATCCTTTGCTGGCCTGTGGGCTATGGGGTTTGTGTACGTGTAGGAAATGAGAAATGAAAAATATTTACCTATTGCGGCCTGATAGTAGCTAAGGCCTTTCCAGGTTTATATAACTTCCCTCTAATTATAAAAACTGTGATTATTTCAGTCCTCACTGAGGCTACGGCATTAGCGGCAACCCTAGACGTTACTTACCCGAGCAGCATCATTTACAGCTTGAGTATTGCAAGCGCACGCTCAACTTACTGTTTGAACGCTGTGATATACTTGCACGCATGTCCAAATGTGTGCTGGCACAAATCCTTATTTTCTGTTTGTCTAAATATTTCCTCACTGCAAAGTTGTCGTGTAAACATCTGCAGGCTTCTAGTGTATTTCTCAAATATGGGACTTTGGTGATTTTCTGTAGCAGGACAAGTACCTTTTTTGGTGGAGGAGAACTGTTAGCATACAGTTCTGTATTATTTTTCTACTTGGGAGCACGAATGGCTCAAATGGCAAAACGGCATTTCTTCTGTCTATAAGGAGGTGTTTGGCCAGTTATTTCTACTGATTTCTATAAATAGCCTGGGCCGTGTCAGAACTAGCAAATTTATCGGTGCTTAATCTAATTTTTTTTGTGTTATATTTAGAGATCTCTGGGGACTGTAAACTGCTGTCATTTAGTTGTAATAGATCTAGCATGATTAGGGGAGGTACGTTGTGTTTTCCTGATATCTTGAAACTCTGAAGCTTTTTCTATTCTAGCAAGCCTTGAACTAAGAAGTGCTTTGTTCCTGCACAGGAATTGGTGAATTAACCACAAGTGATGGTCTATTCTATTTTTGTGTTCAGACACTGCAGATTAGCTGTGGCAGCTTGCTTTTATTTTTTCTTTGGTACTATATCTTAGACTTGTGGTGTGTCTTTTTTCTGTTAGCTTGGTCTGTGCTTTAGCAGGAGCAAAACTTAACTGGTGGAAATTATAGAGCTGAGGGGTAAAAAAGAGTACTACTTTTCTTCAATGCCTCTCTTTTTTCCCGTTGGATTTCTGAGGGCCAAATCTAGCAGTATGAAGTCAATCCTGTGAACTAAGCCAGACAGTGCTGTAGCCTTTTGTTATCATCTGAGGAAGAATCATCAGGGAAGTTGAATCACAGTTCCCACTGGAACTTGAAAGTCTCCCTTGAGTGACAGGCTACGGAATTAAAAAAAAAATATATCAAAACCCAGGAACCCAAATCCCAGTTTTTAATCTCTAACAATCTCTTTTTTCCTTTCTGCAGGAAACTTGCATTGAAATATCATCCTGATAAAAACCCTGATAATCCAGAGGCAGCAGAAAAATTTAAAGAGATCAATAATGCACACGCAATATTGACCGATGCCACAAAGCGAAACATTTATGATAAGTATGGTTCTCTGGGTCTGTATGTAGCAGAACAGTTTGGTGAAGAAAATGTGAACACATACTTCGTGCTATCCAGCTGGTGGGCAAAGGTAAACAAAAGTGCAAAGAGAAGTTATTCTGGATTGGCGTTTAAAACTCTTAAAGAGCTCCATTTGATAATTGTGTTTGTTTTTACTCTTGGAAATTGCTGAATTTTTGACACCTGGTTATTAACCTTCTCTTACTGTATTGCAATCTCTAGTTCAGAAGTATTTTTTTGATTATCTTTCAGTGATACGGGCCTAATAAGTGAGACTTACATTACTAAGAGAAGCTTGGAGCCTTCTAGTGGGATTTAGAAGTGATGAGGAGTTTGGGGGGGTATTCTCTTTGGTAATATCTGCTAAATGATTTTGCAAAACAAGTCCTGACTGTGAACCTGAGCTCACAGAGGAGATCCTGTTTAGAAGCATGCTTACAAACTTACTCAGAGGCTTCCCTGCACAAATGTCACTTCTTCAGCTCTTCTCTGATTTGAGAGGCTCCAGGTTATTTCTTCACTTGCCCATCCTTGTTTCTTGTGCAGCAGAAAGAGTATCACCAGTGTACCAAAATTACGCTGCAAGCTCATGTTTCCTCACAAATGCATGCAAAAAGCTGCTTGAAAGTATTGCAGGCGTGCAGTAGATGTAACAATTCTTGTATAGATGCCTTCTAGGAGTCTTCTGCCAGTACCAAGGAATTACTATATTTTACTGGACTGGAATTATTTTTAAGCGTAATATGCTTCCCTCTTTTTAAGTAATACATTTTAAAATCACCACATTTACTCAAAAGTGCAAAAAACCCTATACGTTGCACATTACACATTTCTCACACTGAAACTGTCCAGGCTTTTGCGTTTCGGAGTTCATGTGACTGCAGTCTGCTTGCCTAGGAAGTAATAAGTAAAAGGCAGCGTGACTGCGAAACTGAAGTACGAAACCATAACTGCACCAACTTACTTATTGAGTGACGTGGCGTTGTTCACAGTGCTTTATGACTGATTAAAACCTTTTCCTAGTCTTGGCATTTCATTTCATAGGTTCGTTTTTCTGCCCTTTGCCAGCAATTGCCTCCATCTCTTGATTCCCCTGCAGTAAGAGAATGGGAATATCACCATGCTGGTTTGCTATTTTTAAAATTATTTTTTCAAACAATTACACAGTGACCTATGTGAAAATTTGTTTTGCCCATTGTTGCTGCGATAAGCGCCTGGCAGACTTGGCTAGCTCCGAGTTGCCCTGCTCGCGTATTAGTAGCGTCAAACCTCAGGACCCCAAACTTCAGTGTGGTGAGCTCTGCAGCCGTGCCTACAGCCTGGGGTAGGTCCACGTCCCTGCTGTAGGTACATCGCAACCTGTACGTCAGCTAGCTAGCCTGAATCTTTTCCAGGGTTATTTATGCAAGCTACAGTCTGTACCTCTGGATTTTAATACAGATACGCTTCTTAGACCTGTGTCTTCTTGCAGATGTAGCAAGTCCACTTGAAGAAGTTCCTACAATTTAGGTTTAAGTAAACCAGGTTGGCAGTATTCACCTCGGTGTAAAATGTTCATAGCAGTAGCCAGTTTTGCACATATTTTTAAATATCTCTTGGTGATGAAGTACAAAAAAAAAATAAAGCTAGTAAGTTCTGTCTCTACATCGCTGTATTTTTGGTCTCTGGTTTCCATATCTGAGTCTCTCAAACTCAGTGGACATGCACGGTAGGCACAGGTGGTGAATATTTCTTCGTCTTCTGTCCTCTGCAGGCCTTGTTTGTGTTCTGTGGGCTCATCACAGGCTGCTATTGCTGTTGCTGTCTGTGCTGCTGCTGTAATTGTTGCTGTGGGAAGTGTAAACCTAAACCTCCTGAAGGTGAAGAGCAGGAATACTACGTCTCTCCAGAGGACTTGGAGGCACAGTTGCAGTCAGATGAAAGGGGTAGGTAAAAACACTGAGATTTCTAGAATGACCATGGCATCAGGCTCTGACCGAGCGCTCCGTGTGCTGGTCAAGGAGCAGCGCTTGCTTTGTAGAGATCAGCACAGGTCTCGGACTGTAGATCATGGTGAGGGAATACTTGTGGCACAAGAGTTACGTGGGTGACGCTAACACCGGAGATCGAGTTGCTGAAAACTCCCAGAGGGTCTTCATTGAACTTGGGGTCAGCTTCAGAGCAGTAGGTCACCATCATTGAGCTTCCTTCCCACGTCGCTGGAGTAACGTTAGCAGCCAGACACGTGTGATTCCAGAAAGGGGCTCTTTTACCCCAAAGGATGGGGGGTGTCAAGGCAGTTTTGTTAACTGCGTCGGGCGTAAAGGAAACGGGACTGCTACCCTAGTAGCTATATCTAATACTGCTTATGAAGATACAACGCTATTTCTGTAGAATTAAACAGATCATTTAAAAAATTGTAGAGCCTTGTGTGTGCTCTGACCATGTTTTTAATGGGCGTTGCTGAATGGTGGGTGAGGATCAGCTGCTCTTACACGAAGAAGGAAATACAATAAATGTTCCACGTGTAGACTTGAGTTGAATGGTATCGTGTGCAGACTGAAAAACGGTAAATTAACATCATGCCCTTTGAGGAGTGTAAAATTGTGTTATCAAAGTGTTGTAGGGAGATTTAACTTACGCTTACCAAAACTTATCATGTTGGTTTTTTTCCCTTGGTGTGCTAAGCCTTTTGTCTCGCTTTTCAGAGGCCTCAGACGCACCTATTGTGATACAGCCAGCATCAGCCACAGAGACGACCCAGCTCACAGCTGACTCTCACCCCAGCTACCACACTGATGGATTTAATTAAGTTAAGGAAACACTGTAATTAGAATGGATAAAAAAAAAAAATACATGGCCAACTCAGCACTAGAATCATGAACATTAGAAGTAGAGAATGGGGAGGGGGGATAATTCTGCCACAGTAAGAAGGCAGCTTTCCAACCTGCCGAAAATATTTTGTAATCCCTTCAGCCTTTTGTCACCTTTCAGTGTCGTATCTTGATGATACGTGAAGTGCTGTAGCATGCGGTATTTAAAGCAGTTTAGCTACGGTCTTATTTGTTTCCTTTTTTTTTTCCCCTTTTTTTGTTTCTTTTTTTTTTTTTTAATAGCATGTATGGAGTTATGTTAAATGTCTGTGGTGTAATGTATTGAGTTGTCACAATATAAGTGTGATGGAGACATTCTGCATTTTAAGCAGTGGTACTCGCCTAAAAATGAGATTTAAAAAGAAAAAGTTTCACAGAAGCCACCATTCTTCCATACAGCCGAGCTGTCGAAGACCTTTAAAAGTTCACGATTTTCACTTGAGTGCAACAAACCAATTCTTCTATTCCTCCTTCTATTCCTGCGTTGTTATCTAAGCAAGTTTACAAAGCCAAGAACCAAAAAACGCCAGTCCTGCAGAGCTGGAATTCTCTTTAATGCTGGTTTTCAGCTTAAATAAATTCTACCTTGAAAAATAAGAAGGGAGAGTTTCCAATCTTTGAACAGTAAATTGATGAACAGCTCTTTATGTGTAAGGCAATCTTCAGTGACAGTGTAACCGCAGACTGTAGTTTGTCACAAAACCAACTGTGAATGGGCTGATGTGGTGGTGGCGGTGGGATTTTAACTTCAAGCACAGTTCTGTTTTGGTTTGAGTTCAGTCTTTTTCCTGAAATGCTAAAGACCAAATAGTGCAGCTTTTTTTGAATGCATGAGAATCTTAAAGTGAAACTGGTCAATTGGTTTTCACTGAGCAAGTGAGTAAAACGCAGACCGTAGGCAACAGCATAAATCTTTAAAAAAAAAATTGGTTTTTAAAAATCTGTTCTAATAATTTGAGATTCTAATAGACAAATGGGGTATTACGTGTCTGTTTTTTAAAGCTTTTATGATACACTAGCCCTTTAATTTTCTCATGAACATCTTTGTGGGGTACTTAAGTGGCTTTTTAAGAACACAACACCTTTGTGTTTATATTGTATAATTTGCACATTGTCTTGCATTTAGACTTGTTTACACCAGTGTCTTTCTCTTCCTCAGAACAACTATGGGGAAACCGTTGAAAGGTTTCCTGTACTATTTTGAAACCAAATCATGTTTGAATACTGCTCTAGAAACTGTGGTTTATTGCGATTTAACTGTTAAAAAAGCATTTTAGGCAGCTGCTGAATTGCTGGTGTATTTTGTTGTTAATAATCTTGCTTTAGATGAGACGGAGTCAGGATCCAGAACAGCGACCAGAGAACCTACACTCGGCACTTTTAGCGGTTGATTACAGCCTCCTTAATGTTGATGTTTATGGTTTTATATCACAGCGCCTCGACTGTCCTTTGTAACCCCCATCTCCCCTTTTCCTTTTTCACCTATTTCCGTTGAGAGGCTATTTACAGCCTTCCTCCCGGTGTTTGCTTTGAAGGTCTCTCGTGCTGCTCTCTTACAAGATCCAGGTGTTACTTTTGAAGGGGGTAAAGCGCTGTCGGTCTGTAAGAAAACCGTCAGAAAATGAAGGGGACTCTGCTGCCGGAGAGTCGTTCTGAATATATTTTCACGCTATCTTTGCATGAGCTGAAAATGATGGAGCACGTAAAACCTGACGTGAAACCGTGTTAAACATGCTGGGTAGGAGAAAATGTTCTTAACACGGTCTCAATGCTAAGTGAGGGTCGCTTGCAAAATCAGACTTCCCTGTAGCTGTTGGTACGAGCACATGTTTGTTGCCTGCATGTGAGCTTGTTGCAAATCAGCATGCTTGTGATACCACGTCGGGTCCCAAAAATTCAAAAAGAAATGTCACTTCTAATTCACTGGCTAGATTTCAGCAGCACGCTTGTTAAGTCATTTCTTCCTCGTCGATAGTCCCTTTAGACCTGGAACTTGGTGGTTTGCTGGAGGATACTTTCAACTTTCTCTGTCTGGAAAACTCTCTTGGGTGGCCTTGAGGACAGTCGTGTGTGATTTGGCTTGGGTCCATATTTAATTAAAGTCTTTGTTTGACCCCTTGGAATGAAAAGCGATTTTTAGGCTTAAGAAAATAATGTCACATTGGCTATCCTTGTAGATTTTGCCTGAAGCCTGTTCTTGATGTTGAATTGCACACTGGAATATGCTTGAATATCTGCAGGCTTTGTCCCCTAAAAACTCACTGGTTAAAATTGCCCTTATCTGTGCAAATTATGTTCTTGGTAAAAAAAAAAAAAAAAAGAAAAATAGTGTTAGGGGGTTTTTTGGCTTTGTAAATGAGCACAGTCGATCAGAGTGACTCGGTAGAATGAGGAAAAGGCTGTTTCCCTTGTACTGTGGTTTGTCACACTCCGTGTCCCCGTGTTCATCGAGACGGGTAACACAAAGCCGGTTGTTGCTCCAGCGCGGAGCAGCTGCGACCCCCGACGTTGGGGGCTGGTTGTGGGTGTTAATTGGGAATAATACTCTATTTCTTAACCCCTCTGGGCTACTTCCACCGAACTGGAACGGCTGGCGGGAGGTTGGGGCTCCGGGGAGGTGTGTGATGCACCTGGAGTCGCTCTGCAGGCTCCTGGCGTCGGAACCGAAACGCGGGCAGCAAATGAGGATTAGAGGCGAGACCGTTACCCGTGTTTTGCACTGCTTGGGAAAAGATGGCATCCGGGAGGAATTTGCTGGTTTAGCTCTTTGCTTAGCAAGGCATGGGTCTGAGAGAGAGACTGCTTTCCTTTCAGCTGTGTCTGGGGGTGGTGTGTGAATAGCAAATTGGTCTGTATGATGTTAGATGCTCCAAGGGAAACTACTCTGAGATCCCAGTTACGGGGAATGACGGCAAAACACGTTTTTAGGTGAATATTCATGGTTTTTTGAAACCGTTTTAAGTTTGCCCGTGTCACTCTGTAATCTCTGAATTTAAGATTATTGTGTATTAACGTGGTTCTTCTTGAACTATATAAGCAAGCTATTTAAACATTGCTTCTTTAAAACAAAACTTGTGTAATCAGAAGATAAGTAGGTTAATGCCCGCTTCTTTTCTGCTCTTGTAGGTAAGGTACAAGAGTATCCCGGGCTCTGACATGAGTTGCGCTTCAAAATGGCCAAGCTGAATCCTAGTAAATGCAAAGTTGTATTGGAAATAATGGTTAAAAATCCGGTGCAGAAGATCACTCGGCAGTTCTGAGCTTGGGCGGGTGGAGCTGCAGTGTCCCCGCCAGAACGCCGGTGGCGTGGTGTTGCAGGCGCTGCAGCCCCGTTACGTGGCTTACATGCAGAATGTTTCCTTCCAAAATTAAACCTGAGCACTGTTGATCTCTGTTCAGCGTGTTGCCAGAATTAAAACTTGAGCTTTGGGGTTGTTTTTTTTTTTGGGGGGGGGGGGTTTTTCCTTACATGCAGAATGTTTCCTTCCAAAATTAAACCTGAGCACTGTTGATCTCTGTTCAGCGTGTTGCCAGAATTAAAACTTGAGCTTTGGGGTTGTTTTTTTTTTTGGGGGGGGGGGTTGTTTCTTAAAAGTTACATCATTTTTTTTTACAAGTTGCCTGAGACCTCCGTTTCAGTTGTCCGCCCGCCTCCATCTAGCTCATCGAACCTCTTCGGCACCAATTTTCTTAGTACTTGTAGCTCCTCCCGACGAGGAGGAGTTATCGGGGAGAATCTGATCCCGGAGAGCTTCGGCTGGCTGGTGCTAAGGACCGCTGACTCCATTCCTGAGTTGTGTCGCGTGGAGAGCCGTTCGTAGCTTAGGGTGAGTAGGGAGAGCTGCCGCCTCGCTGCAGAGAGTGCTCAGGTACCATCCCTCCCGGCCGCGGCAGAGCTGCTGGAGAAGGAGCTGGTGCTGGACCTGCGGTGGGGACGGGGAAATCCCCAACGCACTGTAGTACAATGCTTCACTTGAAGTGAATGAAGGGGCATTGCACCCGTTAAATGCCAGTTTCATTTTGTTAATGACGTTTGTAGGAAATTCTTAAATATTTATCTGTATATAAATTTGTTTATGTAAACCTCAGCGGCGTCTGATAGGGTGTAGATTTCTGCTGATTCCATGCAGTGATGTTTTAGAGCCATGTTACCTTTTTAGTCTTATTTTTAGATTTGTAATATTTTTAAACTGCTTTAGATATTAGTGCTCATAGTGTTCTTAAAACGTGATGCTCTTCGAGGTTTGGGTGAGCGCAGGCTGCCGTCTGAACAGAAACGCCTGCTGCGGGGGAAGGCTCGAGCACGGTACTGAGAAAGACCGAGTCCTGCGGCAGTGCCGTAGTCGGGGGAGTACAGTTTTCAAAACCCTTCGCGTCAGGCTGTAAATGCCGCAGGTGTAACCAGGGCGGGAGCCGGACTGAGGAGATATTCCCGTCCCGTCTATAAAGCGGTTGCGTGGTGTGGCGTAGAGGGACACCGGCGTGCTTTGGGGGGGGGGTTAATCAGAGCGTTTGTACCGTATGCGCTCCTTGAGAGAGGAACCCGCTTTTCTCAGCTGGTTTGTGCCCTTCGTCTGGCCGGTGCCCTTCGGTGTTCTTGACGTTTCCAGACGGTTGAGGAGGTTATATCAGCGTTTGTACCGTATGCGCTCCTTGAGAGAGGAACCCGCTTTTCTCAGCTGGTTTGTGCCCTTCGTCTGGCCGGTGCCCTTCGGTGTTCTTGACGTTTCCAGACGGTTGAGGAAATGCGTTTGTGCTGCAGGCTTTTCCTACCCGATGCAACTGGGTATCGGCGTCATGTTTAACAGGAGACTCTTGCAAGGTGGTCAGGGAGGCTTTCGCAGCCCCCACCTCGTGTTAATAATTCTGGATGCTGTTTAAATACACATTAATCTTAGAGCACTGAAACCTAACCCCCCCAGTACAAGTGTTTATAGTGTAAGGTCGGTATAAACTTAACATGCTTAATTATTTGATGCCGCTTCTCTTTATCATAGTGGAAATCATCTAGTTTGTAGTGTGTCATTACACCAACAACTGCTTAAAATATCTGGAAAGAAATGTAACTGATAGCTAACGAGGTGGCAGGAACTTTGTCGGTGTTCAAGTCCTGCAAGAACTGTGGTCTGCTCCACGTCCTGCGCTGGGAGGCTGACGTGCTAGCTGGGACTCGGCAAGACTGAAATTCCCGTTTCCTTCCAAGAAGGTGCTTTCTTTACAAGAAGAAACCGCGTGAGGGAAGCTGTCTGTCTTTGACATTTGCACAAGCCGAATGCCGTGAATCTGGAAGACAAACCTTCATTTGGAAATCAAATGCCAACGTTACATGCACAGTTGATTTTGTTGTTAAAAGGATAGATGCTGGGAATTTCTGGTGGTTTTTTTATATATATATGTATATGTATAGAGGAAGCTCTTATATAAAATGGCCATTCATGCTCCAGTGCTGTTGTCTTCTCTGCTCCCTTTCCCCCACAGCCAGCCGTGTGGGTGTACTCTTGCAGTCTGTGAGCGGTTGCTTGTCGTACCCTTCCAAAAATTTAACGACCTACTTGAATTCTGCGAGCTGCCCCTTGTCCCCGGCCCCTCCGGCCGGAGCTGGGCTTCGCCGGCTCCAGCTTTCCTTCGGAGGAAGGAAGGGAAACCCAGCGGTAGCGAGGAGGGCAAGGGGCCGTCTCTGGAATGACTCGGACTCGTGCAGGCTGGTACGTGGGGTGTGCCAAGTGTGGCGGCTGCGCTCATCGCTAGAGGCGTAACGGAACGCGTCGATTTGGGTTTTTTCCTTATACTAGTTTTCACCGCGTTGTACTCTCCAAAGCGGGACTCGGTGAGCTCACGGAGCAAGGTCCAAACCCGCGCTGTAGGCTTTGGATTGCAACACCACGTGTGTGTATGTATGTATATATGCACATATGTATATATTTATACAACAGGTGTGCACCTCGTGCTTGCTGCTGTTTTTTCTTTGGTGGTAAAACCGTGAAATTTGGCTCAAAGTACTGCTGCGAACTCTCAGCCAGAGAAGCGGAAGGTGTGA